TCAGAAGCTCTTGGCAAATCCTCTTTGCTTTTCATTAGTTAATTTATGATTTGAAATTTTACCCAATGCAGTAGTTAAGATTAATATCTCTTATGAATTTTTCCCCTTGTGGTATATATGTACTAGGTCGTACATATACTAGGTAGGAGTATAGGTACCTACTATGTATATGTGTGTGTATATATTTGTGTGTATATGTGTGTGTGTGCGTGTATGTGTATACCTACCCAGGAACACATATACCAAAAGGGGAACATTTCTTAAGAGATATTAATCATGACTACTGCATTGCATAACATTTTGAAACATATCTCAATCTTTCTTCCTCACTACCACATGCAGATTACGTTCAGATCTCCTTTTCTGTAATCTGCATGCAGTAGTGGGGAAGAGAAAGATTTAAAGCAGGAACATTTGAAAATGAGAAGCAGAAAAAGTGGTCCTCTTGAGGGAATAGTCTTTCTCGTGGCATGCTGCCCAGACACTGCTATTCCTTCCTGGCTAAAGCCACGGGGAAGATGAAAGGCAGAGGCCAACAAACAGAGTCAAATTGTGGTGGGAAACAGAGCTTCATGGAAGTCAGCAGTTTAAAAGCCGGAATGTCCGGTTTGAGTGTAACACAAGCCAGGAAGCTGTAATGGTCAGTCAGTGGCAACTGGGCAGGGCGGCATGAGAGTCAGGGCTGTCACTCAGAGCAATAGTCAGTGTTCCCAGTGAGAGTGGGACCCTGTGGTCATGCAACCAAGGTGGAGTTTCTCAGAAGGATCATGTGACCTACAGCCCACCTTTTTGAAGAATTGTGCAGCATTGAGAGACAACTGCAGACAAAAAATGGAGACACAAGGAACTATCCCAAAGACAGCACAAAGAACAAATATGCAGGGTTCAAGAGAAAACAGTGTAAATGGCAGTAGCCACAGGAACAGTGGCAGTAACAGCGGCAGAAAACTGGAACACAAAGCATATGATTTTGCATCAGGATCAAAGACTAAAGGAAAATGCAGCAGGAATCTGAGAGCCCCAGATGTCCACTATCAAGTACCAGTGAGATATCCAAAGTAGGGATAGCAAGTGTTGTCAAGGGGGAAAAGAAAAAACAAAACAAAAAACAAACAAAAAAACCAGAATTGAAACCTAGTCTACCACTTTAATATTTCATGATGCATCAGGGCACGAAAAAAAAAAAATGTCCAGTGTGATCAGGTAGGACAGACAGAACCAGGAACTAGAACAAGGTGTGCCTGCTATAATGGGGCATGGAGTTCTAGACAAAAGAGATTCCTAAATAACCTTCCCCGAGAACACTCTTCCAACAGAGCCTGCTCTCTTAAACCATCCCCACCCAGCTGATTCTGGGGGATTTCAGCAGTGGGGGCCTCTTCAGCCATCTCCTGCCTGCAGCTGAACTCACTCCAGGCAAGCTGGTGCCAGCAATTAACCCTACAGGTCACAGTTTCCCCCAAGGGATGTGACACCTGGTTCTGCAGTTTTAGCAGGATCCCAGGCTGAGTTCTCTTGCATTCCATCGGCTTGTTTATTAAGCCCACATCTACTAAACTGTCAGAAAAGTTTCAAGCTAGTTCCTTATGACCAAAAACATAATCCTATAATCCTTGAGAAATATTTTTAAACAGATAAACTGTACAGCATAGTATCTGACACAGCCAGGCACTTGCAGGCCAACCCATCCCCCAAAGCACAAGCCTCCTCACAGCAGTCTGGTCTGGTTAGTAGGCCCCATCCAATACAGTTAACCTGTTCGTGCTAATCAGGGTTCCAATCCTTCCTTGGAACTATGTTTTCTGTTAGGGTGCAGGTTACATGCGAAAAAAGAATCAATAAATAATGATGCATGGAGTAAGTGTTAACTTTCAGCAAAGAATGCTGTTCGTTGACCCAAACACCTAAACAAGATAGATTGAAGATAATATTTGCCTTCAGTAAGCCTAAATAGCTTACCTTTGGATGATTAAAATTTTTTTTTTAAAGAAAGCTCTCTCATTTAATGGACAGTTGGAGGTTTGTTTAGGTTGATTTTTTAAAATAAAATTAAAATTTGATCCTAGGTGGTTTTGAATTTTGAAAGTTTCATTTCCCTGAAAGAATATTGACAAGGAAGCAAAAGCTCTTATTCAATATGAAGCAAGTGTAATACTCCAATTGCCTAGAAGTTTAACTTCCAGCAACTTTAACCAACAAGCTCAAACTGGCTCAAACTGGACAATGAAGGTAAGTGAAAGTGTCCCTGAGCCCTTAAGGAAACTGTACAAAGGCCATGTACTTTAGCAAGTAGTAGGTGAGGAAGCTACTCTTCAGCCTTTCAACTAAGAACTATTGTTTTTGAATTATGTGTAAAATAATGAGAGGGCTGCAAAAGAAAACTGTGAGAAGGTTCATTAATGAAACACAAACAGAGAGAAAAGTCACTAGATGAGCCACGGAAGCCTGTGCAAACACTCTAAGTGAACCCTGAGTGCCCTGACAGGGCTACAAATAAAATATAATCTATAATGTTCCAAGGCATCATCAAGAAAGGGTTAAATCAGGTTAAGTACTTTATGTTGAATAAAGCACAGAAAGTGCATGAGGCATTTTAGAACTTTTCCAACTTTTGGGAAAACAAAGAGATAGACATTAGTTATGATGGGAAAATGCATTTACAGACACTACCCCATTCCTTCATAGATAATACTCCATTCCTTCACATAGAATACAGTATCCCTTATAGCTCAATAATAAACAGTAAGAACGGTTCTCAGTTTTTGAGTACCCTCACTGAGATAATCAATGCTGGAGTTCAGCTTCAAATCCAGAATGATCAGGCTTCACACCCTTCCCATTATACAACAGCTCAACAATAAGAAAGCCTGACTAAAAACAGGCAAAGGATTTCATTAGAAATTTCACCAAAGATTATAAAAATGGTCAAGGGGTACATGAAAAGATACTCAACATCGTTAGTCATCACAGGAATACAAATCAAAACCAGAATGAGATACCACTTCATACCTTACAGCTTCCATTTGTATTCATGACCTCCTTTGCAAAGTAGAAATTGAATTGCTGCTGTGGTATAGATTTGTTCTATATAATCCTGGGAGAGGGAACACTATAATCAAAATGACAGATAATAACAAGTGAGTGTTGGTTGCAGTTGCTCATGCCTGTAATTACAGCATTTTGGGAGGCCAAGACAGGAGGATGGCTTGAGCCCAGGAGTTTGAGACCAGCCTGGGCAAAATGACAAGACTCCACCTCTACAAAATATTAAAAAAAATTACAAGTGTTGATGAGGACACGGAGAAATTGGAACCCTCATACATGCTGTTGGAAATGTAAAATGGTGCAGTGGCTTTGCAGAACAGTCTGTCAGTTCTATGAAACATTAAATGTAGTCACCATATATCTCAACACTTTCACTTCTAAGTGTAATCAGAGAGGAATGAAAACAAATATCCACACAAAATAATTCATAGAAGCACTATTTATAATAGCCAAAAAATGGAAGCAATCCAAATGTTCATCAACTGATGAATGGATAAACAACATGTGGTATATTTATATGGCAGAATATTATTCAGCCATAAAAAAAGAATGAAGTAATGATATATGCTACAATATGGACAAACCTTGAAAACATCATGCTAAGTAAAAGAAGTCAGTTGTAAAATATCACACATTATAAAATTCCAATTATAAGAAAACACAGAACAGGAAAATTTGTAACAACAGGAAGTAGATTAGTGGTTACCAGCAGCTGGGGTAGTTTGAGTATGGGACGGATAGGGAGTGATGGGTAAGTGGTGTGAGGTGTCTTCTTGGAGTGATAAATATGTTCTAAAATTGATTATGGTAATGGTTTCACAACTCTGTGAATACACTAAAAACAACACTTAATTGTACACCTTAAATGGATGAATTATTTGGTATGTGAATCGTATCTCAATAAAGCTGATACATATGAAGACAGGATTTTTCTTCAACCTGCGTATCTTAAGGATCCTTAACATTCAGCTTATTTTCTACTGAATTTTGTAAATTGCTTATGAAACACTGCTGGTTTTCGAGTCATAGTCAGCAATGTACTTTTGCTGCTTTAAGTGTGTGTTCTTCCAAAGGTGCTGAGTAAAGTGAAAATGTTGTGTTGTTATTTATTCCCAAGAATAGGAAAAAAATATTTAGTAATTATAATTCATAATATATTGATATTAAATCAAGAGGTAAATCTATCTTGGCATGTGAAGTTTTTATTTATTTATTTATTTGTATCATATATATTTAAGGTGTACAACATGATGTTTTGATAAAAATCTACACAGTAAAATGATTACTACAGTCAAGCAATCAACATATCTATCACCTTACATAGGTTACCTTTATTTCATAGAAAAAGCACCTAAAATCTATTCTCTTAGCTACTCCTTAGTATACAGGACAATATTATAATCTTCATCTCATGCGTTCACTTTCTAGACTTACTCATTTTACACAACTGCAAGTTTGTGCCCACTGTAAGTGTGTGGATTTGTTTCCAGTTTCTCTATTCTGTTCCATTGGTCTATGTGTCTGATTTTATGTCAGTGCCATGTTGTTTTGGTTACTATAGCTCTGTGGTACAATTTGAAGTCAGGTAAAATGATACCTGCAGTTTTGTTCTTTCTGCTTAAGCTAGTTTTGACTATTCTGGGTCCTTTGTGGTTCCATATAAATTTTAGTATTTTTTCTATTTCTTTGAAGAATGTCACCTGTCTACCTTGTGTTCTATTTTATTGTGGCTGAGCTGGCACTCAAACCACAAGACACAGTCCTTCCCACTCTTTCCTCCCCTTTCCACAAGCAGAGAAGCCTCATCCTGTAGCCACTGCCACCCCAGGTCATGAGGAGTACTGCCTGACTACCAATCAACAGTCCTCTTAAGACCCAAGGGCTCTCAAGCCAGCTTGTGGTAAATGTTGCCTGGCCTGGGACTCACCCTTCAGAGCAGTGGGCTGCCCTTTGGCCCAGGACAGGTCTATAAATGCAGTCCATGTGTCAAGTCCTGGAATTGCAGAACCCAAGAACCCATTTGGTGCTCTGCCCTGCTGTAGCTGTGTTGATACCAAAGGTGCAAAACAAAGTCCCCTTTACTTTTGCTTCTGCTTTTCTTAAGCAGAAGTTTTGCCTCATAGCCAACAAAGCTGGGAATGTGCTGAATCTCACCTGCAGCCAGCAAGTCTCACACGCTTACAAAAGGCCCCTAATGTAGTACCTGGGTTTTGCAGCTTGTTAATTAGGGCCCAGGGGCTCTTTGGTTAGCAGGTGATGAATGCTGCCAGCATTAGGTTGTTCCCTTCAAGGCCTCAGGTTCTCTTCTGCCCCAGGGTGTTTCTTGAAATATCATCCGGGACCTAGGGCCTGGTATGGGTGCCTCATGCTGGCTGGTGTCTTAGATGCAAGACAATGTCCTCCTCATTCTTCACTCTCCACTTCTCAAGTGGGAGGAATGGGTTTGTATTGGAGACTGGAGCTGTGTGGCCTGGGGTTATAGGAGGGGTGACGTTAGCACTCCCTTGGCTGCCCAGCTGGCGTTTCAGTATGTCAGGTACCTTCCGCAGTCCACTGACTCTGGGTCTAGTTCAGCACTAGGCCTTGCCTATGAGTTGCAGTCCTTATGGCCTAGACTGCCTTTCAAGTTCGTTTAGACACACAGAGCACTGTAGCCCTTGGTGGTGAGGTTTGCAGGAACTCAAGGTTTGACCACTGGGATCAGCAATTCCCCTCTGGCTAGCACTGGTTTAAATGCTCCCTTAGTGGGCAGGTATCAGCTGAGTTGGTCTACTTTTCTTTTCTGCTCTAGCAGGAAAACACTAAGTTCAGTTACACTTAATTGCCGTGCTTTCCCTCCCCTGCAATGCCCGGAGATGCTCTCAGCACCAAGCTGCTGCTGCTGGGGGTGACAGAGGGGTGACATTGTCTTCAAGACTTTTTTTTAAATCTCTTCAGTGCTTTTATCAGTGATATGAAGTTAAAGCCAGGTGCCACGAGTGCTCACCTGATTTTTTGGTTCTTATGAAGGTGTTTTTTTCTGTGTAGATAGTTTACTTGGTGCCCTTGAAGAGGGGGATGATTGGTGGAGCCTTCTATTCTGCCATCTTGCTTCACCTATCTATCACATGTTGAAGTTTTTTCTTTACATGTTTAATGCATAAAATTATTTCTCCCACTAAAAAATAATGCATAGCAAAAGCCTTTTGCCAGGATGGATTTCAGTCAAGGTAATCAGCCTCCTTTTCGAAGTACATTATTATTGAGACACAGAGATTGTGTGAAACACTTCCAGTGCCCTGGGAGGGACCAGAAAGGTAACCAATTATGGGAGAGAAGAAATAGAAGGAGCTAATCTTCTCTGTCCTGGCTTGCTTTTCCCCCGAACTCTTAAAAGAATTAATTCACTTCTCTTGGAGATAATGGGAAACTGAGGTTGTTATTGGCAGCCTTCAAACACTATCCTTAATTATGGATAGTTACTAAACCACATAATCACACTCAGTTATCCCATTACAGGGCTCAGCAGAGCCCAGGTCTGCAGCCCTGGGTGTGAAGCTCAATTGCGAGAGGTTTTGAGAGTGTTTATTAAAAAGGGCATGAGTGCGCCCAGCCATCGTGCAGACCATTTAGGCTCCCAACACACAGCCCAAATAATGGATCCCATGCATAGGATTTGGCATTCTTCCATTGAAATCCTTTCCTTTATTTGATTTAAAATGATAATTCAACTAAAATAATTATTCTAATCAAACTTTATATCTTTTTGTCAGGTTCTGTGGGGAGGCCTCTGCCCTCAATGTTATTTTAGTATTTGCTTCATTTGTTTTCTCACCTGGCTGACTTTGGCTGTCTGACTTTTTGGAAAATTTTATGTCATTGGGCAATTACTGCACCATTCTGGAGCTTTCCACTCAAGATGCAGGGAACAAGGGAAATAAAATATCCTGGAGAACTGTTGCACTTTGAATTCTTACCAGTGGAGGCCAAGAAATAACTGAAGATGGAATATGATTGAGGTCACTCACCCATTCACCTAAATGCAAACCTCCAAGTGGTTGGCTAGCCTGTGTTAAAGCTGTAAGGTGAGGACAAATGATAGTCTCACCATCAGATTCCTATCTTTTTAAAATTTCTTCATTTTTCTTTTTTTTTTTTTTTTTTTTTTTTTTTTGTTCGAGACGGAGTTTCGCTCTTGTTACCCAGGCTGGAGTGCAATGGCGCGATCTCAGCTCACCGCAACCTCCGCCTCCCGGGTTCAGGCAATTCTCCTGCCCCAGCCTCCTGAGTCGCTGGGATTACAGGCACACGCCACCATGCCCAGCTAATTTTTTTTTGTATTTTTGGTAGAGACGGGGTTTCACCATGTTGACCAGGATGGTCTCGATCTCTTGACCTCGTGAAAAATTTCTTCATTTTTCTTTCAATGGCTGTTGTACTTTTGAAAGGTGTAAGTGTTGTTGTATCAGATCTCAGAAAGTGTGTGATATGATTTGGTTCTGCGTTCCCCACCCAAATCTCATGTAAAATTGTAATCCCCATGTGTCAGTGGAGGGGGCTGGTGGTAAATGATTTGATCACGGGGGTGGCCTTCCCTTTTGCTGTTCTAATTGTAGAGTTCACGTGAGAGCTAATGGTTTAAAAGTGTAGCACTTCCCCCACCGCCCCTCGCTCTCTCACTTGCCACCATGTAAGAGTTGCTTTGCTTCCCCTTCACCTTCCGCTATGATTGTAAATTTCCTGAGGCCTCCTCAGCCATGCAGAACAGCGAGTCAATTAAACCTCTCTTCTTTATTAAAATAAATAAATAATGCAAAATCAACATGGAAAATTCAAAAACTGCAGAAAACACAAGCCAGTCATTCTATTCTCACATACAACATTAACAGCCGTTAACATACTGATGTATTTTTTCCTTTGTTTTGCCATGCATATTTTTTTCACGCATTTGTGATCACATGGTACATTTCAACATTTATTCCCCATCTACTTTCATTATTACTTTGATGAATGAACCTAGTGAAACTTGTACCAGAGCGCTGATCTATCTCTTAAGGTACATCTTCCTTCCCCTCTTAACCTTCTCTTGCCTGGAGCTCCGCACCATCATCATTGAGCCTGAAGACAATGAAGTTGTTAAGAAGAAAAGCTAAGAAACAAGACTTGAACTGTCCATCATCCTGAAGTGCCTATCCATCACCATAAAGCTTGTTGTCTCTCAGGGTTACATGGAATGAATCAATACCACAGCAACAGTTCAGTTTCATCTTTGCAAATAAGGTCATGAATACAAAAGAGATGTTAAAGAGACTCTGCACTCTTCTAATCAAGTATCTGACCCCCTCACCACGTCACAGGAGATCTGTCATGCTGTCACAATCTTCTCAATATGTGGCCTCTTTAATGTTGTTAATAGAACAACACACCAGTTCTCCAGGAATCAAAGGCTGTGTTGCCACTGTTAGGGCATGATTACTAATAGTGTAAAATCATTCCAAGCTGAACATTGTATTTTAAAAGCTGTTGGGCATGGTGGCACACACCTGTAACCTCAACTACTCAGGAAACTGAGGTGGGAGGATCACCTGAGCCCAGGAGTTCAAGGCCAACCTGAGCAATACAGTGAGACCTCTGCCTCTAAAATATAAAAATTTGTAAAAACTCAATGATGCAAATTGCATCTACAAGCAGTGTGAAGCCTGTTTAAAGCATCAAGAAACAGAAGCTCTGCACACTGCTATAAAGAAATACCTGAAACCGTGTAACTTGCCTTTTTTAGAAAGAGATTTAATTGGCTCACAGTTCCACAGGCAATACATAAAGCATGGCTGGGGGAGGCCACAGGAAACTTACAATTATGGCAGAAGGTGAAGGGGAAGTTGGCATGTCCTACATGGCTGGAGCAGGAGGAAGAGTGAGCAAAGGGGAAAGTGTCATACACTTTTAACCATCAGATCTCATGAGAACTTACTATCATGAGAACGGCAAGGGGAAAATGTACCCCCATGATCCAATCACCTCCCACCAGTTCTCTCCCCCAACATTGGGAATTACAAGTCAACATGAGATTCGGATAGGGATACAGAGCCAAACCATGTCAAGCTCTATCTATTCCAAAGTCCCCAGCCAGCAAAAGTTGACAGATCCCAAGCTTGCAAACATAATAAATATAAAGGAGTTATTGTCCTATACATCAGTTGTCCCCAAACCCCAGGCTATGGATGGGTACTCTTTCATGGCCTGTAAGGATAATGAAACCAGGCTGCACCACGGGAAGTGAGTGGTGGGCAAGTGAGCATTACCGCCTAAGCTTTAGCTCCTGTCAGATCATCAGGTTTTAAATTCTCATAGGAGTGTAAACCCTATTGTGAACTGTGCATGGAGGGATCTAGGTTGTATGCTCCTTATAAGAATCTAGTGCCTGATAATCTGACATGAAACAGTTTTATCCCTACACCATCTTCCCCCATCCCACAGTCTGTGGAAAAATTGTCTTCCATAAACTGGTCAATGATTCCAAAAAGGTTGGGGACCACTGCTGTGCCTGGGAAATGTGCCTGTGTGCATATGTGTTCTGTTGCAGGAAGTGCTATTTGATCCAGCAAAGCCCAAAGCCCCACATTTAAAAATGCTTGCTGAAGGTAAGATCCACAGATATAACACTGCAAGATCTACCAAGGCAACAGCCTTGATAACCATGGTAGCACCTGAAGTTGCTCAAATGTTGAGTAGATATCAGATAAGAGACCTGCTGCTAATACCCTTGTGAATCATTAGGTCCCAATTTTCTCTTTTACATGCTAATTATTAAAGTGCCTTAGACCCCCTTGTGTACAGATGAAAATAACATATTTTTAAAAATAAGACACCTTAAGCCAGTTGTTCTTTGAATCTAACTGTGATCGAAAGCACTATTAGGACAAAAGCAGAGATGGATCATTCAAAGACTGTAACATTAGTCACTAATAAATCCTGTGGCAGAACCAAATGTAATAAGATAGGTACACAGTATGATGTCAAATTCACCCATCTTTTCAAGGACTATTGTACTAAGAAAAACAAAGCTAAAATGTGTGTACTTGTGAATCCAAAGGTTTGCAGTTATAAACAAGACTAAATTTGTTCAATTTACTAGAATGACCTGAAGCTAAAGTAGCCAGTCCAGTAGACAGGAAAATATTTGGCTAAAACATGGCAAGAAGCACAAACCAACTCTTGAGGAAGTAGTGAGTGTTATGAAAAGCCAGTTGGGGTGGAATAATGTTTTAAATGAGTGTTTTCTTCTACCTTCACCTTGATAAACAAGCACCTCTGAAGTGAGCAGAAGTCTTAAGGACAGCTACCTTGTGCCACAATGATGACCAGAGTTCAGTAAACAAGTGGTTGAACTCAAAGGACCCTCTTAAAGCTAATATTCATCAGAGGTTTCTTCTAAGGCTAATCCACTAATTTATATCAAACAATCCATAAGTCCAAATACCCAATCTAATAGATCCAACACAGAAAAGACAATTTAAATATGGAAAAATATTGAACTATCATATAATTCTCCTCCCAATTTAGTCTTGCTGTTTCAGGATAACTGGAAAATATTATGATTGATACTGTTTTTCATGCTAGGGGTCAGGGATTTACAGGTTATTCTTTAGGCCATTCTCTAGTTTCTATTTGGATTAGAGAAAAATAATTTAGAAAATTCATTCTCAGTTTCCATTTGTCATCTTTCTATATCAAAGACAGATGGAATTAGATGCAAACACATGGGAAGATTTTTTTCTAAGCCTAAAATGTCTTGTGTATTTGTGTCTATTCTCATGAGTATACAGGGCTGGACTTTCACTTGGCTGCTACCTTAAAGTAATTTCATCTGGGACATAGAGCGTATCTAGGTCTAGGTTAATTCCACTATAGGAAAAATGCAGACTATATAAAACAACTTCACTATACAGCTTGTTTTTTTCTCTACCCTTCATAAAAACTACTTCTGACCAATGTGCCCAGGGAAGTTTCAGCTACACTCTTCTGGTGCCTCTCTCTCAGCAAACTTTGGATCCTATATCAGGCTTACAGGATTTTCCATGGCACAATTACTTGTAAAATCAATTTCCGTATTGTCTTTCCATTTGTCTGCTTATACTCATCTCTTATTTTTGAAATTGAACCAGCATTCATATTCTTTCTCATCAGCATTTGAGGTCTATTTGCCACAAAACATTCATTGTCTTTAAATAGACCCCCCCACCCAGGATTGACCTTATTTAGCTGCCATCACTACCTGCCAATAAACATTTTAACATAAAATATTTCTTTACATAGTTGGCAGGACTGGCTTCCCATGTTCAGTGGTAGTAGATTAAGTTTGTTTTTTCTATTTGTTTGTACCCACCTCCCTGAATCACTCCGTTCCTAGTCTCAAATAAGAAGTGAAAGAGGGTACCATTTCAGCTATTTTAAATTAAAAGGAAACCATGAAAGATCAAGAAGAAAATATGGAAGGATATTAATCTTTTCTTAGAATGGGCTAGACTTTTACGAACACAAGAGCAAAAACGAAAAGTCATGAAATAAAAGATGTGTGGACCTAACAACTAAAAAATACAAATCTTCCGTATGTTGAAACAAAATTAAATTATAAACAAAAAGCTGGGAAAATATATTTACCAAACATATGTGATATGCAAAAAGATAATAAAAATATAACTTAGTAAGTTTGCCAAACAACAGTATATGGTCTTTTGCCTTTTTATCTTTTCAAAAATACAACTTTTTTGTATTGGTTTCTAAAAGCTATTTGTATATTAACAACATTAACCCTTTTTGTGAGTCACTGGCAAAATGACACAAGGGTGGGGGTAGTAATGTGACACAATCTTGCAAGTAAGTATCTGCTGGAGGAGAGAGGCATTACTAGGAAACCTGGCTACGTTGATTAAAAATACAGACATCACATACATTACTCACCTCATTCTTCCTTCCAGAAGGATGGGATGGCTGAAGCTGGGGCAGTCATCTTGCAAACATGATATCAGTGAGCTGCTCAGACTGGGATTTACACCACTGGCTCCTCTGCTTCTCAGGCTTTCAGACTTGAACTGAATTGAACTGAATTCTAACACTGGCTTTCCTGATTCCTCAGCTTGCAGATAAAACAATATCAGCAGCTGCTTACTTCAAGACATCTGTTTGTGTGAGAAAAAAATAAACCCTTATTAGTTGAAGCCACTGTTAATAAGGTTTCAGATACTTTGAGCCAAAAACATTTTTCATGGATGTTACTCACATGATTAAGCAATTCACACACAAAAAGTGAGAGACAGATGGACAATAATTATGAATATTATTTCACTTTTGTGATGGTTAATTTTATGTGTCAACTTGACTTGGATAAAGGATGCCCAGATAGCTGATGAAACATTATTTCTAGGTGTTTCTGTGAGGGTATTTCCAGAAGAGATTAGCCTTTAAATTGGTAGACTCAATAACAAAGATTGCTGTCACCAATGCAAGTGGGTATCATCCAATCCTGTAAAGGCCTGAATAGAACAAAAAGGCAGAGAAAGGATCTGTTTGCTTTTATTTGAGCTGAGACCTCCATCTTCTCCTTCCCTAGGACATTGGTGCTCCCAGTTCTTGGGCCTTTGGGCTCAGGGTGGGACTTACACCATTGGCTCCTCTGCTTCCCAGGCCTTCAGACTTGAAATGAACTGGAATGAATTGCAACACTGGCTTTCCTGATTCCTCAGCTTGCAAATGACAGATCATGGAATTTCTAGGTCTTCATAATCACATAAGTGAATTCCTATAATAAATCTCCTCATATATACATATATATATGCATACACATACATATACATCAATGTATAATTCCATTTATTGATATTAAATTTATATATGTGTGTGTTTGTACGTGTGTGTGTATACATATATATATGTACACATATATATAATTGGTCCTGTTTCTCTGGAGAACCTAATACAATTTTACAAATAATAAAATATGTTAAAAATAACCACCTTGAAGACTTTATGCCAAGTGAAAGAAACCAGTCAAAAAGGACAAATATTGTATGATTCCACTTGTATGAGGTCCCTAGAGTAGTCCAATTCATAGGGACAGAAAATAGAAGAGTGGTTTCCAGGGGATTAAGGAAGGAGAAATGGTGAGATAGCGTTTCATGGGTAAAGAGTTTCAGCTGGGAAAGATGAGAAAGTTCTGGAGATGGATGGTGGTGATGGTTGCACAACAATATGAATGTACTTAATGCCACTGAACTGTACACTTACAAATGCTTAATGCTAAATGGTAAAACTGGTAAATTTTGTATTATATATATTTTACCATAATAACAACGTTAAAAATCA